GCTACTTTATAGCTTCAGGAATAATATTGTATTATGTCCCTTGTTATCCTTGACAATCAGTATGAAGACCTATCCACTCCTCTTCCTTTGATCCTTATATCCTGTGCCCAAACCAGATATCTCTTCATTTTTAGCACTCTGCTTGCTTTCCACTCTGGCTAAGCTAACTTCTCTGAAGCAGTGTCATCTCCATCTCATTTCTCTTTTACATCTTTCTTTTGCTATCTTCATTAATTTACTGCCTTATATTAGGTGACCCCTGGTCATATAAAGGACTTTGAAGTGCTATACACTCTAGCTCAATGTTACTTACACAACAGACATGCAAGGTAAGAAAGCATTAGTGTACACCCTGGTGATTCTGAATAGATTAATTAAAGAAATGTTTAGGAAAGATTAGACTTAGGCTGCTTACATAAGTGAAACTTTTGATTATTATGTATCTTCTAAGTTGTTTTTTTTTAATGGAAAGGGAAACATAAGTTATATAGTGGCTTTAAAACCACATAAAATTAACCCATTAAAAAATTGTTTCATTTCTGATCACAAGTGAGATTAACTCCTTTGAGATCCCTGTATAAGCTGTRCACAAGTATTATTTCTCTTCAAAAAGTTATAGACTTAATGGAAGTGTGATCTAAACYGGATGGGTCTTATAGGTGTTACTAATATTTCGGACTCATTTGTTTAGCTGCTGAATTGAGGACGGATAATAGCACCTGCTCTTATTCTTTATTGTAGAGAAAACACAAAACAGTCATAGAGCAGGAGTGTATTCATGCACTTCAGATGGTAAATAAGACAGCACATTGCATCAAAAACTATTAAAGAACTGGATTAGGAAATCAAAAGGGGATTCGTTATTTTTGCTTTTTGTTGGTGTCTGATACAGTATTAGGCAGCAAAAAGTCTAATACAAAAAAAAAGCCTAGTAGAAAAAGTATTTTAAAACAGTGGGAAAAAACTGTTAAAACAGTTATGGCTCTAGCTGTGATGAGTACTCTGAGGAAAGAGAAAGCTAGTCAGAAGACTGTAACATGACAATGAGATTTGAATGATACTTCCCTTACTAAATAGCTTGTTTCTTTTCCAGTACAGGATTTTTTTTTTTTGTTTTGTTTTGTTTTTTTTAAATAAAGGAATATACTTTATGGTGATCTGTGCTGAATAAATATTAGCCTATACAGTAGCAAAATTGCAAGGAATCATGGAATGTAGTCCTGAGACAGTATGCAGAAGTTTCAGGTATGGGACTTTGCCTAAAACAGATTTCTCTCTGATGTGTGCTGAATATTGCAGATGATCTGCTGGTTTGTGGTGATAGTGGCACTTTTGTGCCTGGGGAATCAGGGAAACAAAAGTATTCAAGACTAACATAAAGGGGTACTATTACTATGAAGTGGTGCTGAACTTCATCCATAGGTACTCCTATTATACTGTCATGTTCATCTACGTGCTGTAAGGAGTTAGTCTAAAGGAGGATTGGTTATGCTTTCTAGGTGCCCTGATTCTTTAAGTCTGAAAGCATTAATGTAAGAGTGATTATAAATACTGTGGCTGATCCAAAATGCAGAGCAATCCATTGAAYTGATCAGTCCATGGGTCTAGGTCTTCTGGCTTGTACTTCAGCAATAAATGGGTTGACAACAAAAACAGTTCTTTGGTGCTTCCTAAATTTAATCCTGTACTAACTCTAGATTAACCTAGAAGACCTAGAACAAAGGGATCATTGTGGAAAAAATTGTTGTGAGAAACGGATGTCCAAATTCTTAACAATTTCTAAATCAGAGAATGCAGCATATGAGCTACTGGGTTTGACAATTTCAAAATCTTCTGGTTTTGGTTTTACACTCAGTAGCACAAGACAGCCTTTAAATATTGCCAATCCTTCAGCTGGTTACCCTCATCATCATTTTAATCATTGCCATTAGATGATGGCAGAGATTTTCTGGCTGATACCTCTCTCCTCAGAAACATTTCAGCTCACAAATAATCTGCAGAACTCTGCAGATATAATATAAAAGCAAGCAAACAACAAAGAAAATTGGAACAGTAATGGCTAAAGGAAAGCCTGCATTTAGTCTTTTTAGCTCTGTCTGTGCTCATTCAAGTTTTTATAAAGTCAACCACTTAACTATCATCTAGAAAGATTTTAGAATACGTTTGAATATGAACCTTCAGGGTTAGGCTGCTCCAATTTCTTTGCTTGAAAAGGACTGCATTTGGGACAGAAATGTTTGCAATTCTATGGATACTGGTTCCACTTCGCCATATGCGCTTCCAATCACACATAGMCAGATATGTGTATTTGAACACATGCACAAATCTGGAATTGGTACTTTGATACTATAGTATGTGTTGCTGACATACCAGATATGCCAGGAATGGTTTAATAAAGTTTCAGCTTAAGAAGTGTATGTTTGTTGTCTGGTAATGTAGTCATTTCTGTTGTAGTTTTTGATACCTGGGCCAATTCTTTGTTTTTGAAAGTAGTGCATAACAGTAGATAAGCAATAAAACACTGCAAAGATACTGGACTTGGTTTTTTCAGACTTACTGGACTTTTACAAAAGCTTYAGCATCACAGTATTCTGCAGTGACCTTCTGACTCTTAAGACCTTCTTGTGATCGCTGATACTGATTTAGTTTGGTTAGTATGTGTGTGGTTCAACACTCTGACCTCTTCTGGCACTACCGGAAGAATGCTAAACAACTCTAGGAGAGTATGATACAGTGTGATATCTTTTAAGGTACTACTGCTTGGAAATTTTAAACCAAAGCATTAATATTAGTGYTCTTTCCTTTCAAAATATAATTTGAAATAAAAAATACTCTGCAACAGTTTCTGGTTTATTGTTTTGTTTTGTTCCAAAAGTTTTTGGGTTTAATTTGTGTTGATAATATTTGACTAACATCTTCCAAAAGTATATTAGGCAATATATCTTCCATTCTGTCTCCTCTCGTCTCTTGACAAATATAAATGTTTGTGTGCAAACATTCTTTTCTTAATTAAGAGGAAACAGTTGTTCTTCTGTGTTTGAAAGCTTTCTTCAAAATTTTTATATTTATTTTATATCTATTTCATATCTATTAAGAAGTTAAAATTCTTCCTCTTTATTCCATAGTTAAAATTAAAGTACTTCACTTTTTTGGCTTATCTAAAAAGGCAATTGTGAATAAGAAATTTAATTCTCAGTATTAATTTTATTTGGTTTATGTTTCTTCCCATTACATGTATCAGGACACTGTCATGACTGCATTTTAAATGTCTCAATTTTAAAATTTTCTATTTAATTTTAGAAAACACTGTTTTTGCTATATTGATTATAAAGTCAGCATTTCTAATGGATTAACCATGCAATGAAAACTAAAGTGGYATTACAAGTATAGCAGCATTTGTTAAGAATTTTTTGTCAACTGTGACTTCTCTCTGCCCTAATTTTTGACATTTTTAATTTGGAAGGGGATATATTGGGTGTCCTATCTTTGTAACAGTAGAGTGAGACTAGCAGAGCTACCAATTGTCTTCAGTGTTTATTCAGTAATAAACAATGTCTAAAATACTGCAGGAATAAAGGGCAGTGGATTTCAGGAGACACAGTTGTCTTGTGCCTTAGAATTTAAGACACATATTGGTTTGCTTTGCAGCCCTGACATACTTTTTTATGACTTTAAAGAAGCATTCAAATTTTGCTACACTTTCATTTTTGGTTACTCCTGTTGTTATCATCTTGAAATGGTTTAGTCAGAAATCAGTGATCATAATATTTTTCTCCACAGCATTTTTGGTCCCACAATGACACCTCAGGTTTTCTTATAGTCAATTGTCCACAAAAGCACAACACTCAGATTTCTGGGGTTGAATAGGTAGCGTGAGCCGGGGGGGAGAAGAAAAAAAAAGAAAAAAAAAGGTTCTTAGTTTTCATCACACATGAGATTGATGTTTTCATGTAAGTGAATACATCAGTCTCTGGTATAAGCATTATTTTAGTTACACAAGTGGAAAATTTAAAATGTTTGAAGTAATCCTGCATCTCATGATTTTGGCCAGTGTGGCATTGTACTAAAACAGTGATCGCAAACAAYAACGACCAGCTTCCTCCAAGTACATTAAACCATTACATGCATCTCTATAAATTAGTTTGCTGCAGTTAGTTACTTTTCTGCTTGATACATGMATGTTCTGGTTGTGTTCAGGTCAGAAGTCACAAGCCATAGCAYCCATTTCTGACAAACTGAATTGGGGATTCAGACCCTCTATGTACAGGCCACTTGCAAACCAAATGCAATATCTGTTTCCTGAGAGTCATGGATATGAAAATGGAGAATACCTCTGCCATGTAGTAGGGACTGAGTTCTATCAGAGATGTTATTTGTAGTTCTGCATTTAAAAAACAATTTTACTTAGTAGTGTGCTATGCCCCAAAGGGAGTTCTGTATTTGTGTGTTTGTGTATATTAGTGTGTGTGTGTGCTTGTGTGTGTGTTCCTTTATGGTTAACAAATGCCTACAGACAATAAAGAAACAAAACCCAAGACCATATTTGAAACACAAAAATGTGCATAATTTGTTACCCAAATCAATCAAACCAAATTATTAACATCGAGATGTGTATGATGTATTGATATGTTTCTATGTGGCTTTCTGTTTGTRTACACACAAAATTTATGTATTATATCTACATAAACACGTGTACTGCTAAACACATGAACTTTTAACCTATGTCAGTTTTTTAAAATCAGTTACTGGAGGTTTTGTTCAGCTGGTATATAATGTCAGGTTACCAGCAAATTATTTATTCACATTGTTCCACAGGCCTTGCCTACTCTTTCCCATTGTTAATGTGTCATGCTCCTCAAGCTATTCTACATTCTCAGTCAGAAATGTTTACCCTGAGTTTATTATAGATCAACAGGAATGTTGCTTTCATTGTAAGTAATGTGCTTTCCTTGACTGATGGTTCTTTGGTTTAAAGTAGCTGTTATTTGTCACACTGACAGGTMCACCTACTGCGAAATGCTGGAGATGAAGTTACCATCACAGTTCAATACCTCAGGGAAGCTCCATCATTTTTAAAGCTCCCTTTAGGTAAGAGGAAATTAGTGAATAGGAGTAATCTGTTTTCCTCTTTGCAGTTTTTTTTCTYGTAATAAGCTGACAGTGACAGAAATAGGAATTCAATCCTTGAGTTCTTTACAGGAAGAAACAGAAAATTGTCTGTCTTCTTTACTGTTTAACGTGTAARAATCTAATGCATACTGCCTAGCTGCTTATGTATAATTTATACAAAATRAAACTGAAAAAAATAATGAAAATGCCRAATAGTCATGGTGATAGCTGAAAGTTCTTCAATAGAAGCTTTGCCTGAATACAATAAAATAGTGTTTGCAAACCTTTGAATCATGCATGTACACTGAAAGGTACTTTGAGGACACTTACCAAACAAATGGATTGCATTAATTATATATATTTCATAAATTACCATTACCTTGCTATTTTGATTGGTTTTGTCAGAGAGCRCAATTATGTTGAGACAACTGAGTAGTTTAACAGTAGCAGTACTAAAATGTGTATGAACAATACAGATGAGGGAAGTTTGGGGTTCTTTTGGTTAGCAGATAAAATATTCAAGTTGCACAGTTGTGATCAATGTTGCAAGTAGAAAAGTGTTCTTAAAAAATCTGTTTATCTAATCAGATTAAATAATTTTGCACCAGTTTATTTTAATAGATTATTTTCTTTCCAAAATAAGCAAAAAGTTTTGAAATGTGTCTCTTTCTTTGGATCTATTTAGATTTTATTTGTGCAAGTTGGGGTCAACTATGTTTTTTCCTGATTTCAACAGAATCATGGGTGTCATAGTCTAGATTTTGCCATTGGAAGAGTATCAATCATTTAATATAGATTCTTATACCTGTCAAAAGCCAATTTGACAGGCCTCTATTAAGATGAACTTCAGCATTTCATGCTAAAACCTTTCTTTCAGTTCTTATTGCTTATCATTTGCRTTTGAAAATACATGGCCAGTGTCTCTTCTAATGAATCTTCAGGTTGGTGTTCCTACTTTTCCTACTAGATCATCAGATCACTATAGACTGATGTCTGTTATGCCTTGGATAACTGTGTCCAAGCTTAGACATGATTTTGGCAAGCTGGCAGCATCTTACCAATAGTGTGTGTGCTGTTGGATGTATTCATTTGTGATTATGACAGACCTACTGGCACTTGTGTCTCATCTTATAGATTGACATCACATACTTGAACTGTATTGCTTGTCACTGCTTAACTTTATCTAAGAGACAAACTCCCACTCAGACACTCTCTCACTCCCTGTTCTCAAACAGGAAAATAGAACAAAAAAAGCTCTTAGGGCAAGAGAGATCACATATTGATTACCATCATGGCCWAAGTGGAGGCAACATGGGAAAACTTAGATAAATGTATTGCCTATCAAAAGAAATTCAAGCACCGAGAAACAAAGACAAATAAATTGTCCATCACCTTCTTCACTGACCTTGATGTTCACTTCATTTTTGTCTCACTCTTTTCCTTACCACTGTGTCTGCTCTTCTGTATTTTACCCTTTCTTACATAGTTTCCCAGAGGTGCTATCAGCTCAGCTGCAGCACTCAATTTTGGGGGATGGGATGTTTCCAGAAGTGGGAGCAGGCTGGAACTGTCTGTGTCTGGCATAGGGCAGCCCCACCCCCCAAAACTTTCCACTAAGACCTAGTACACACTCTCCATGAGCTGGCTGCCTTCACAAGTAATTCATGTATGTCCAGGAATACTGGGGCTCTCTTTGTACATCACAGGGAACTTTGCTTTCTCACCAGAAGGCACTGCAGCATTCCTGTCTGGGAGGCTGAGACCATGGCACTGCTTCCACAAAGTGCTACTTCTGGAAAGAATAAGCAGTGATCATCAGGGAGGTCATCTTCCATCTCCATGTGACCAGCTAACACTATTTGGGGTCTGCCCCTAATTACCTCTTTTGGAATAGGGAAGACAGTGCCATTTTAGACAAGCCACCACAGCCTATCAAAGAGCACAGCAGATAAAGTGTCTCATTCCAAAATGAGACATCTTGTGAATCAACTGGGAAATAGGTCTGATTTACAACAATAAATAAACTGAAGTTAAAGAGAATAGTGCCCCATTTCAAGAAGAGCTTTTTACAAATCCATGCACAAAAGGGACTTCCAGTCATGAAGCATCAATGACACTTCTAAAAAAGCTAAGTAGCAATTCCATTATGCMATAAAGAACTTTCCAGTTCACACTGCAGGCAGGATTTAAGTGCATACATTCATAATTCTGAAGTACATTGGCCTCTTCTGACATCCCAGAAGACTCAGGCACCTGGTCCCCTACCTTCCAGCATTCAGTCAGACCAGCTGCTGTGCTGGCAGTTTTAGTGCTGTGGTGTGTTCACTGCAATCATGCTGTCCCTACCCATTAACCCATATCATCAYTGTGAGCACATCAGCAGCAGCAGCAGCTGCCTCCCCTGCTTCCTTCTCATACATCTCCCTTCCCCACACCATCTCATGCCATGGCAAAAGCACAGGATGTCCTAACATGGAGATATCTACCTACCTACAACATTTTTCTGTCTGTTTCACTCCTTTGTTATTTCCCTCCTTCATACAAAAAAAATGCAGAATTTGGCATGGGTTTAGTCGTGGACATTGATTAAGTAGCACTTAAGGATGAGACAAGGTCTGCTTTTTTCTGTGTTTGGAGGAGGTCCTAATCCAGGGTGATATGTCAGTATTGTCCCCTTCTCAGCTGTCTGGGACACTTGGCACTTTAGTAGACTATTATGAGACCGTCTATAATAGTAAATGAAATTTTTCCAACGAATATTCTCTGCCAGAATTATTTGATCAGCAATTTTATAAAATATTGTAGAATGCCCGGCAGAGTTTTGTATAGGGCAAATAGTTATTTCTCACAAAACTGTCAGCCTGGATCAGAAGTTGTTATGGMCAATTAGGCCATTAACTGTCTGCTTCTTTGGATTGCTTGGCTCCATGGCAAGGATGATTCCTCATCCCATGGCTGTGGTTTCTCTAAGGTCCCTGTCAGCTAGAGAGAAAACAGATTTGTCTTTTTTGAAATAAGAAGAGGAACTTTGGATTTTTGAGCTGGGTCGGGAAGTTAAAATTGGCTGTGGGGTTATGTGTTAGCCTGTTACAGAATAATTGTGACATCAGCTCTTGGGTATTGTCATTAAGGATTTTCTGGATCTAAGTTCATTACCATCCCAAAGTTAAGCTGGGCTTGTAGGACCCATTTAAGTAAGATTCACAGTGGCTAGAAAAACTCCTTAGGACATTTTRTAGTAAAATAGACTCTTAATTTTTTTTCTATTTGATAGTTATATCAAATTATCAGAATTTTCTGAATTTTCAAAGCTTGCAATGTAATTAAAGATCGTTAAGAGTGTTTGCTTTGATTTTAATTTTGTGGTTGTTCTGCAATGGGCTTTTTGTCTTTTGGAGGTTGCCTGTACCAGAATTAGCAAGTTCAATAAAAGAGTTTTTATTTTGGTACAAGAGGTCTCATCTCCAGTATCATTCAGCAATGTTAATCATAAGACAAATTGTTGTAAATGAAAAAGCCTTGTTCACAGTTTGCTGTACATTGGTCTGCTGTTGTGAATTTTGAGGGTTGTTCATCATTTAAAGATTTAGTGTAATTCTCTGACTGAAATAAACAACCTCTCATTGATGGAACTGTTGTCCAGAGTTGTCCAGAACTTTAATAGAGACTTTTCTAGGTCTAGAAAGTATAAGGCTTTTAAAGTTAAAATTAAAATCTAGGCTTTATTAAAATAAGTAGTAAAATACCTAAYGTTTTAAATTAAAAAAAATAATTTGTTCCATTAAAATTATTATAAAAGGACCTAGAAATATCTCCCACCTGTAGCACTGCAAATGAGTTCTTGCCTTTGATTTAATGTTAGCTAACTTAGTGTTTCCTGAGTTACTTCTGGTACGCCAAAATCCACTSTGATTCTTACAAATTTTATTCCCCTCACCTTGGAGTTCTGCCTGGATTTTTTTGTGCTACCCCAAGGGGCATTGCAGTCTCCTCTGTGAACTKCACACTCACATCTTTATGATCTCTATGGCTCTCTGACCCCTTCTCACTTCACAGGGCATGTTGTAGGTTTTTTTCTCTCTGTGCATGCTCAGCTACTGCTCAAGTAAAGATCAGGCAGAATCTCTTCGTCCCCCAAGGACCCTTCCTAACCCAATCTTCACAAAAGAACAAGAGTGCCAAAGCTGAGAATAAGCAAATTAAACAGATGAAGCCTGTCATAGAGTAYGTTTGCATTTCCCTTAGGCTATGAWTTAGATTATCCATGATTTGGGTGGGATCAGACAACTAGGCTGTAATGATTGCTGGAAAACTCACAATGTACCAAATGCCTTTTTTCATGGCATCAGAAGGATGCTGTAGCTCAGCTGCTCAGGGTCAGAGCAGTGTGCTAACAACACCAAGATTGTGGGTTTGATCCCTGTATGGGCCATTCACTTGACAGCTGGGCTCAAAGATCCTTTGGATCYCTTCTAACTCAGAAWATTCCATGATTTCTGTGATTATGGCCATGGAGTGGGGAGACCTGTAGCAGATGTTTTACTTAACATAAACACTTTAATAGTCTGTCTTGAAGTACTGTTCCAGAGTTTCGATAGGTACCTTACACTTGATTTGTGTAGTGGAAGGCAGAAATGGCAGGGAASAGACAAAAGGCTTGTGAACTTGTTTGCTGTCAAGTGATGGGGGTGGCATGGCCTGAGACAGGCTGTGTAGCTGGGAATACACAGAAAATGAAATAAAGTTGCTGAAAAGTAAATCTGCTGGGACATTGTGGAAGGAGTGAAGTTTCTTTCTCAACTTTTTATTCCTAACTTTCCCATGAAATGGATTTAAGTTTTCTTTATGTAAAAATAATCAATTATTCTAATGTAGCATTTTGTGTTATGGTAAAACCTGGATTTAAAGATTTGTAAATAGCTGAATTAATGCCTTTTGATATGCTCAAATTGCGGAATAGTTGGGATAATTCCACTTTCAGAATCTGATTGATTCATGGACCTGAGACAGTTATCTACTGCTGGAGAKGGTCAGATTTCCCAGCAGGCAGACTCTTCAGTGAGAATTTATTGCCAATTTTTTTTTTCATTTTTTTAAATAAAAATTATTAAAAAAATTTTTGTGTTTCATCAAGTCCCTGTAGTTATCCATGACTATGAGCTTAAATTTTTGTGCTCCTGTATATACAGGAGCCACAAAACATTGTAACTACTRGAGTGAGTGCTTGGTTTTAGGAGCAAAGCACATCTCCTTCTGCTGGCATGACCTAGTACTATGCAGAAAGGACTCCAGATGAAAATMTGCTGAAACTCCAGAAATCAGAGTATAAGTCTGAGACCCCAGAATTGAACTGACAGATTTGTAATGGAGAAAATGTGTTTTTCGTAAATAAAGTTCAATTTTGCTAAATCTTTCAAATACATAGAAAATATACATACAAAAACGTATAACTAAGAATGGGCTTTTGATTTCTATGATGTTAGACTTGACAGACCTATTAATGTGAGATGATTTACAGGCAATTTCAGGTTAATTCTTCAGATGGAAAAATGAGTTTTCAGCGATGATGAATATAGTGCTGTACACCTGATTTTATGTGTATTTTTGATAAGACCACGTGCTGTCTGACAATAATTTTATATTATTGGTGCTATTTGTTAGCATTGTACATTTAGCAGAAATTACACAATGATGTGAATTTGTGCTGTTTCCATATGTTACAAAAGTATTAAGCTTTCCAGTCAATTTTAACTGCTAAAGTAGGTTCATGGTGCATAACTGCTAAAAGGAAAGATATTTTGTAGACTCTTAACTGTGTAGTTTTAGCATATTGACATTGTATCAGCTGTTCAGGGGGACTGTTTGCTTTCAATTTCTGAATCTGAGAAGGAGCATCTTTCTTAAAAATAATTGGCCCATAAATAAAGTGTGTGTATGTATCCAGTTAGTGCTTGCCTGAGTTTCCTATTATCTTTGTTTATAAATACAGTCCATGGTTAAACTCTAAGGTGGGACTTCCAAGACTTGAAAGGAAATTTGTTCTTTAAATTATTAAATGTGTTTTGTGTAACTGAGCTGTTYACTTGGTTTTGAATATCTCATTCTCAATGAAAAAAGGCTTAATCCTGCTAACAGTTAAGCATACAAATAGTTCCCATAAGCACAGCCCCTCTCAGATGACATCTAGCTACCTTTTTTCTTTCTAGATATTAAGTATAGCATATGGATATTTTATTTGCTGTCTTTCTAAAATACCAGTAGTATTTTTGTCTTGCTCTGGTGAATTATGTTAAAAATTCTTCCTGTGTTTTACAGCTGAAATAGATATTGTCTGAGATATATATATATTTTAACATCAGCAGTTATTATCCTTGATCTGATTTCCAGGTTCCCCTGRACCATCCAGTGATCACAGCAGTGGMACTTCATCACCTCTCTTTGACAGTGGTTTACATTTAAATGGAAACTCAACTAACACGGTAGGTAAATGAATAATAGAAACAAGTTGTAAGCTCTGTAAGTTTTTTTTTTTCCCTTTTTGAGCTTCAAAATGCTAGAATAAGATTATCCTAATTTTGTTTKTGTTGTTTTTTGCTTCTTTGATTGATTTTAAAAAGGGCTTATACTGTGAAATTCTGTACTTACAAAGTCCTCAACACATGGCCCTGAACTGCTATGGTTTTACTCTGAGGCAGCTGAGAAGCTTGGAGGAGTGAGTACAGTAAGATTTAATCATCGTTTAGATGTTAATTTATGTGAACTTTTGTCATACATTCTTGAATTGTAACATTGTACTGTTGAATTTAGTCCAGCTAGAGATGCTGAAATGTACATGGAATTAAGAAAATAATGTAAAGTTGAATTCTTGAAGCAAACTTTTTTAATAGAAAAGATAGGGAGAAAAAGAGAAAGAAATAAATGAGGAAAAAATGTCTCTTACTTTAACCCAGAGGATATTCAGTTCTTTTTTTCTGCAGCGAACAGCAGCAGAAAATTAATTACAGTGTTGTGGGGTAAGAAAAGAAGTTCCTTTCTCCAGGAAAAATGGTAATCACCAAAGCCAAAGAACACAGGATGTCTTAGTAGGCAACAGTGCTGTCCTTTTAGTAGGAAGATTGAAGACGTAAACAGTAGTTGTACAAAGATGCGGACTTTCATGCTCAAAACCTGTTTAACACCCAATAAGTCGAAACTCTAGTCTTTCYGTTGGATATTAAATTATACAGAAAGAATACCCAGTGAATGGACAGAGTTCTGTTTTTCTTTTTCTTCTCAGACAGTGGAATCAGTGTCTGATGTCTACTGTACTTCTCTCAGGCTTTGCACTTTTTTGAGCAGTCTCTCTATACTACTCCTTAAAGTTTTTTATCTGCTAAAAATATATTCATATATGATAATTTAAGTATATAATATAATAAATTAATAAAAAAATGCTTTTCTGTGCTGATACCTGTATTTTAGTGTTCAGGGTCCAAAGTGATCATAGATACGAAAGGTTTCAAGTTGATTTCTTTTTATCAGGTGCTCTGCAGACAAAAAAGTCCTTTCTGCAATGAACTTACATTATAAGAAGAAGGCTATGGCCAATGATTGAATTAGCATATCTTAATAAAGTAATGCCTACTAAATGTTAGAATGAGTGTTCCAGGATACTGTGGGAATCGCACACTTTGAACTTTWTGCATTATAAAAATATAAATAAATGGCTGGAGTTTTGTAGATTTGTAACAGAGTAATTTAGAAYAAGTTGCCAAGATGGCACACATAAGAATGGGTGTAAGTTTGACATATAAGTGGAAAAACAGAAAGTAACGTGTAATAGTAAGGTAATAAGTTRCTTTTTTACAGCTCTTAATTTTTCTGAAGCCTGACATAAAGTCACCTGAAGAGCTGTGTATGCAACAAACACTATGACCTAGGAGTGGAATAAAGCAGAAACGCTACATCATAGATCATAAAAGTCATGATATACCTTCAAAGAAAACTAAATGAAACATTGCTAGAATCTTATTGTGAAATTTAAAAGCAAGGCTCTAAGTATTTTGAGCAGGAATAACTGGATTTTGAGATCTACTGGAAATGTGTGGTCAAACTTTTCTCARACTAAGCTGTGATTGTAATGAGCTGTGATCACATCTTGAAAAAGTGGTTATGAATGTATTCCAACTACCATCTAGTGAGCACTTCTATTTTATTCAATCAGATAAGTAGAACAGACATTTCCTGCAATAGCATTGCCCAGTAAGGCTAGTGGTACTTAAATCCCTTTTTTACCCCACCCTGGTAGAGGAGGTCTGGCTCTCTTTGAATATTGCACCTTGCGAGTTTGCATTGCAGTTTTATGTACCTTCCTAACCACAATTAGATCCATGCCATAATAGACAATACACCTTTATTTATAAGTGGAAATTCTGCTCCAAAAAGCACACCATGTAAAGGAAAGGACAGGAATGAGAGGTAAGGAATTATTCTCATGCCAGCTTTACCAAGCTCTAATTTTGCTTATAACAAATAATACCGAGGTGCTGCAGCGGGCTGGTATCATAGAGGCAGTGGTTTAACTATCTCAGCAGCAAACTCTTTCTGCCTGATATGATTATACAATTTTCAGTTCTGATGTTAGCTTGCCTCTGTTAGACCTATCTTTATCACCTCTGCTRTGAAGCATCTGTTCTACGTGATGTGATGCCATCTTCAGGACTTATGTACATCCTTTATAATGTCAGAGCAGTTCGCTGTAGAGCCCTTTAATGGGGTTCTCTGAAACCCAGAGAACTTAACTGAAGAGCTCTCTTCACACCTAATTATTTTGTGCTTGGGCACTGTGACAAATGCTACAGGGATTGACAGTGGCAGTTACATCCATCTGTACCTTATAAGTGGTTTATTTAACACAATGTAGAATTCCAGAGGGGAACATAAAACATACAAAGGCGGTGGTCTCAAGGCTTGTGAGTACAGGTTGTTTTCTTGAACTCTAACGCTAAAACAATTAAATACTGTAGGGATATCTTACTAGATGTCCAAATATCTTAGACACCCAGGCCAACTCCCTGGAGAAATTGGTGGTGGGAAAAAAAAATACTGTAAATAAAACAAATTGCTGTTTAAGACACCATGGGATAATAGCGACAGTTACAATGTAGATGCAGAATAGACTGGGTTTTCATTCATG